CTACCTGGAGGTCACCAGGGCGCGTCTGGAGCTGGCGCTGGACGCGACAGCATGCGAACCGCCAGCCGAGCGCGAGGAGCTGCACGACCACCCAGCAGCCCCTCGCATCCATCATCCCCACCAGCTCGCTTGGTGTTGGCAGGGCCTTCGCAGGCCCAGCAATCAGCACCCGCCACTGGTGGAGTACGCCGCATGCGTCGGTCAATGAAGATGAACAGCAACGCATTGCAGGCGTATATTAGGGCGAAGGGGGGAGAAATTGGAGGTTGTGCGTATCGGGCTAGGATGCGTCAACTTTTTGCTGAGCTGGAGCCATCTATAACCGTCACCGAGCAAAACCTGGCAGACCGAGTTCGGTATATCTTGCGCTCTAACATATTTGATAGCACCGAACTCGAACGGCTACGACGTGAGGCTGTACCCTCATCGAATGAAAATAATACAGCTGAGGATGCAGCGCCACAAGTTGCAGAGCAACCAGCACACGTGGATACCGACGTGAATCTTTCAGTTGTGGTTGGTTCAAACGATGATGGAACAGTCGCCCAGGAACTAGAACTAAAGCAAATGATGAGTACATTGGAAGAGGCTATTTTGGAAACGCGCAGTACGCCTCTCGAAAATCGACCGTGACTTCCCCGCATACCCTTAAGCAAGCGGAATCGGGCTGTCGTGAGGGCTATCAACCCAACGCTGGTGACCTATTTGGAAGCCAGCCGGGACCTAGTCAGCACATTGTTGTACTGAACACGCAGATCACTGTAGGCTCGCTGCGTATAGTCAGTTCACAGACTGCATGTGTAAAAGAATTGGCAATAGGCCTTGAATAAAGTTAACTTGACTTGAGTCTGACTACGTGCAAATCTGCAAGCCAACATATTGCCTCGGTCTGAGAGCGCTCGGCGTTCTCGTTCAATGTCGCTGTCGTCATCCAGGCTGCAGTTACAATAGTCCGAGGTACCTAAACTCAGCCACTTGTATCAGAGAAGTCCCACATAGCTTTATACGTGGTTTGTAGTCAAGTGGTTTGTTTTTACTTCTGAAGACAATAAATTCACTCTTTTTTTAGTTGTAGCTGGGTCCAGTCTCCTCGGCATATTTTTCACAAATTTTTAACAGCTTTCGAAGCCCGCTAACTGAGGGGCTCAACAGAACCATGTAACTAAAATTATTCATTGATACACCATCTATAGAGCAACCAACACCTGCTCTGCTAAGCCTCTCAAACAGCCCGAGTGACGTCAGCCCTCCTTGCCTCACTCCACACTCTAAGTTTGTAGGGATCACTTAAGGCGTTACCATCTATCAGCTATCACAGGACACGGCACCTTTAACAAACATTTATTTACTATAGGTGTTACAGATAGTCCCCTATGCAGGGCATGTATGGTGAAGGAAGAAACGGCGGCCCACGTGCTGCTGAAATGTCCGGAGGTCGCTATGTAAAGGGCTAAACATCTCGGCACATCAGGATCACTCCCCGAAGTTGCATACAACATCAAAGGACTGTTGAGCTTCTACGGGGAAATCTCATGGCTCGAATAATGACGTTATTCCCGCCCACACGCAATATACGCGCATAGATGTGGAGTTGCGGAAAACAGCCCGTCGTAAACTAAATTAAACACCTCATTTATCACAATCTGACAACTATTACACTTTAGTTTACTCAGCTCACTAGAGGTCGACAACCTCTGACCGACCGCTCGCACTGTCCACCAACATCTAAATATATATAATGATAACAGTTAAGAGATTAAATAGAATTTGATAACTTTAAACCGTAACTTTGACCGTGTAGTGGCGGTCAAGAATATCCACTACCCCATATCCTCCCGTGGGTGTCGTAAAAGGCGATAAAGGGAAACAGGCAGGAGATGGGCAGCAGCATCTTCTTGATAACAATAAACTAACAATAAAAAAAAACTGCGGTTGCCAAACTGCTCGCCAAGCGTGGCAACTATGGCAAATACCCCCCTATGAATGAATGACAGTAACAAAGAAACGGCCCCCAGTCCACGGCGGCCCCGCTATTCCTGGCTACGGTGGCGACCATGGTAACGGCGGGGCAGGGGGTGCTAAGAATCTCCGGTGGAGGTTCGGTTGCCACCTTAGACGACTCGACCTGGCAACGTACAACGCACGCACCCTGAGGACTGACGAGAAGATCGTGGAGCTGAAAGAAGAGATAGACAAGTTGCGCTGGCATATTATAGGATTATCCGAAGTCCGAAGAGAGGGGGAGGACACGGTAATCCTCGAATCCGGCAACTTGCTCTATCACCGGGAGGGCGACCATCTGTCCCAAGGAGGTGTCGGATTTATCGTCCACAAGTCTCTCGTTAACAACGTTGTAAAGATCGGGAGTGTGTCGATGAGGGTTGCGTACCTTATACTCAGAATCACCAAACGATATTTGCTGAAGCTCATACAGGTTTACGCACCAACCTCGGCACACCCCGATGAGGAGGTGGAGGAAATGTATGAGGATATCTCTAGAGCCATGCATTCCTCCAAAACCCAATATACGGTGTTAATGGGAGACTTCAATGCAAAACTAGGCACAAGAGAGAACGGTGAGCTGAAAGTAGGGAAATTTGGAATAGGGCAACGGAACCCAAGGGGCCAGCAGCTGGCTGACTTCATGGAGAAAGAGGGACTCTTTATGATGAACTCTTTCTTCCAGAAGCGGCCCCACAGGAAGTGGACCTGGTCGAGCCCCGATGGTTCGACAAAAAATGAGATTGACTTCATTATGACGACCAGACGACAACTGTTCAGTGATGTCTCCGTGATCGCGAAGGTGAAAACTGGTAGCGATCACCGAATGGTTAGAGGCACACTGAACCTAAACGTTAAGTTGGAGAGGTCCCGTCTAATGAATTCAACGCTCCGTCCCCCTCGTGCTTTGTTCCAAAGTCCCGAAACCTTTCAGCTCGAGTCACAAAACCGTTTTCAGTGCCTAGAAGACTGCAATGAAGTGGACGATATGAATGACAAGCTCGTGGAAACTGTCCATGCGGCCGGAGCTAAGTTCTACAAGACCCGCCGCAGAAGAACACAAAAACTCTCCGATCACACTCTTAATCTCATGGCTGTTAGACGGGAGATGAAGCTACATTCTTCAACAGACTTGACAGCATACAGGCATTTAAACAGACAGATCTCCAAATGCATGCGGCGGGACTTACGCAACTTCAATACAGCTCGTATTGAAGAAGCGATCGAGCGGAACCAAGCTCCAAAGTCTTTGCCAGAGATCTGTCTGCCAGAAAGAGCCAACTGTCAAAGCTGACAGAATGTGGCAGCATAGTTTCCGGGACACCTGAGATTTTGAGTGAGATTGAGAGGTTCTATGGGCAATTGTACACATCATCGTTGGAGCCACACGCAAGTGTGAGTAACGATCCAAGAGCGAGTCTCATCCGACACTATTCCGAAGATATCCCGGACGTCAGTCTGAGCGAGATTAGAATGGCTCTCCAGCACCTTAAAAACGGTAAGGCCCCAGGCGAGGATGGAATTACAGCAGAGCTTCTGAAAGCGGGTGGAAAACCGGTACTTGAAGTCCTTCAGAAGCTCTTTAATTCCGTCCTCCACGGTGGCATTACACCGGAGGCGTAGAGCAGAAGTGCAGTGGTCTTGTTCTTCAAGAAAGGTGACAACGCTCTCTTGAAGAACTACAGACCGATTTCCCTTCTGAGCCCCGTCTACGTGCTATTTTAGAGAGTCATTACGAATCGTCTCGCGCGCAGACTTGACGACTTCCAGCCTCCCGAACAAGCCGGTTTCCGAAAGGGCTTTAGCACCATAGACCACATACATACCCTTCGGCAAATTGTACAGAAGTCCGAAGAGTACAATTTGCCACTATGTCTGGCGTATGTGGACTATGAGAAAGCCTTTGATTCCATCGAAATTTGGGCGGTGCTGCAGTCCCTTCAGCGGTGCCAAGTTGACTGTCGGTATATCGAAGTGTTGAAGTGCTTGTACAGTAGGGCTACGATGGCTATCCGAGTACAGAACCAGAGTACGAAACCTATCCAATTGCAGAGAGGTGTAAGACAGGGTGACGTCATATCCCCGAAACTCTTCACCGCTGCATTGGAAGACGTTTTCAAGCTTCTGGACTGGAAAGGATACGGTATCAACATCAATGGCGAGTACATCACTCACCTTCGATTTGCCGACGATATAGTCCTTATGGCAGAATCGCTGGAGGACCTAAGCACTATGCTCAATGACCTCAATAGTGTTTCCCAACGGATAGGTCTTAAGATGAACATGGACAAAACAAAGATCATGTTTAATGTCCATGTCACACCTATGCCGGTAGTTGTTGGGAACACTAAGCTCGAAGTTGTTGACGAGTATGTTTACCTGGGACAAATAGTCCGACTAGGTAAGTCCAACTTCGACCGAGAGGTCAATCGACGGATTCAACTCGGCTGGGCAGCGTTCGGGAAGCTACGACACATCTTCTCGTCAGACATACCTCAAAACCTTAAAACGAAATTGTACAACCAGTGCGTGTTGCCAGTGATGACTTACGGAACTGAGACGTGGTCCTTCACTGCTGGCCGTATGAGAAAGCTCAAGGTCGCTCAGCGAGCTATGGAGAGGGCTATGCTCGGAGTTTCTCTGCGTGATAAACTTAGGAATGAGGATATCCGCAGTAGAACCAGAGTAACCGACATAGCCCAACGGATTAGTAAGCTGAAGTGGCAGTGGGCCGGCCATATAGCTCGAAGAACCGACAACCGATGGGGAAGAAAGGTTCTCGAGTGGCGACCTCGTACCGGTAGGCAAAGTGTAGGGCGTCCCCCCACGAGATGGAGTGACGACCTGGTAAGACATGCAGGAAGTCGATGGATGCAGGTGGCTCAGGACCGTGCTTTGTGGCATTCTTTGGGGGAGGCCTATGTTCTCAGCAGTGGACTTGTGAAGGGCTGTAATAATTATGATGATGAACTTTAAAAGCAAATAGGATTATTACAAACCTGCTTCTCTGATTCTAATTCTTCAGCTGATTTCTGTATATCGGAATCATGAGCATATTTGCAATTGTGACCAAACCGGCATCTACCCTTCCTGTAGCTCCAGCATATCTTCTTCCCATTAATCATTTGCGTATTGTCTTTACCTGGAACCTTACAGTCACCGACTATGTACTTGACGTTTATATATAAAACTGGATACAAAGGTTTCCTACTGTACATTAATAGTAGTAATAGTAGTAATTGCTTTTACTGCAAATATAACAAAGACATTCAATATCTTTTTTTTTACATTAGAAACACCTAAAAGTATATTAAAATAGGATTTTTATTGAAATCCCGAGAGACTTAAAATCAGATCATCAAAACAAATAAGTTAAAAAAAATTAAACACCTTTAAATCAATATCTTAAACAAAGGTTTTTAAAGAACACACTGTCATGATAAGAGTGTAACAGTGTTAACAATTTTAACATTTTTATAAGTAAGTAGGAATTGCAAGACTTATTACAAACAAAATTCTTAAATTGGTTATTAGAAAGTCAACATATACCATTTTGACGTGCTTTTCTAGGATGGCAGCTTTTGCCAATTCCGCCTCTACAAATGGATTAGAGAATACAGAAGTTTGGAGACTGTTTTCTCCCAGAATTGGCTTGGGAAGTTTTGGTTTACTTTCATCTTTTGGGTATCTGAAAAAAAAAGTAATGGGTGCCGTGTTATTTCATAAATTTTCAAAAGCTAACCCGCAAGTGTATGTAAATAGCTTTACTTTTCTTCATCCACAGCTTCATCCTCCTCCGTATCACTAGAAGATGATGATCCGTAATCTAAAAGAGCATTCATTGAGGATATAAATTTTAAATTATACTGTAAAGTAATAATTGATTTTCATCACACACTATATAGAAACACTACGCGTTTTTTTGTATTGCTTTTTATGATTGACATTTGACATTGACAATTGACATAGTGAATAGTGATGCTCAACTTTTCTTACTAGAGCTGGGCGATGCAAACCGTATACTGCTGATTCGAAATCTATATATTGGTACAATATCTAAAAACCGCTATATATATATAATATTATTTTATTTATAATTTTCAATTAATTATTAGATCTACCCGAATAAATGCAGTGGAAGGAGAAAGTTGCGCTTTTTATTATTTTAAATATATTTTGTGTAATAAATAAACAATAAAGACACTGTAAATATCTACTATTTTAAATTAAGCATTTATAACTATTTGATCAATATCATATGAAAACTATTTTCAAAAAAGAATAATCGACTTTTATGAAAATTATGTTAGTAAAATATAATCCAAATTGGTTAATTGTTTTTTTTTTTAATTCAGAAAATCGCAAACATACATAACATGTACATACATAAAGACCCTAAACAATAAAGACCTTCATTTTTTTGAAGTTGGTTTAAACGGTGTATCGGAGTAGAAAATATAAACGCGTACGCAGAATATCTAGATATTGAAATATATAGTTTTCATATCGCTTTTCGTATTCGTATTCCAGAAGCTGCCCCACAGGAAGTGGACCTGATCGAGCCCCGACGGTTCGACAAAAAATGTGATTGACTTCATTCTGACGACCAAACGACAACTGTTCAGTGATGTCTCAGTGATCGCGAGGGTGAAAACCAGCAGCGATCACCGAATGGTGAGAGGCACACTGAAACTAAAAGTTAAGTTGGAGAGGTCCGTCTAATGAAGTCAATCCTCCGTCCCCCTGGTGCTCTAATCCAAAGTCCTGAAACCTTTCAGCTCGAGCTACGAAACCGTTTTCAGTGCCTAGAAGATTGCAATGCAGTAGACGATATGAATGACAAGCTCGTGGAAACTGTCCATGCGGTTGGAGCTAAGTTTTGCAAGACCCGCCGCAGGAGAACACAAAAATTCTCCGATTACACTCTTAATCTCATGGCTATTAGACGGGATATGAAGCTGCAGTCTTCAGTAGATTTGACAGCATACAGGCAACTGAACAGACAGATCTCCAAATGCATGCCTCACATGCTTACGCTACTTTAATGCTGCTCATATTAAAGAAGCGATCGAGCGGAACCAGGGCTCCAAAGTCTTTGCTAGAGATCTGTCTGCCAGAAAGAGCTAACTGTCGAAGCTGAAGACCGAGTGTGGCAGCGTTGTTTCCGGGACACCTGAGATTTTGAGTGAGATTGAGAGGTTCTATGGGCAGCTGTACACACCATCGTTGGAGCCACACGTAAGTGTGAGTAACGATCCAAGAGCGAGTCTTATCCGACACTATTCCGAAGATATATCGGACGTCAGTCTCAGCGAGATTAGAATGGCTCTCCAGCACCTTAAAAACGGCAAGGCCTCAGACGAGGATGGAATTACAGCAGAGCTTCTGAAAGCGGATGGGAAACCGGTACTTGGAAGTCCTTCAGAAGCTCTTTAATTCCATCCTCCATGGTGGCATTACACCGCAGACATGGAGCAGATGTGCGATGATCTTGTTCTTCAAGAAAGGTGACAACGCTCTCTTGAAGAACTGCAGACCGATTTCCCTTCTGAGCCGCGTCTACGTGCTGTTTTCGAGAGTCATTACGAATCGTCTCGCGCGCAGACTTGACGACTTCCAGCCTCCCGAACAAGCCGGTTTCCGAAAGGGCTTTAGCACCATAGACCACATACATACCCTTCGGCAAGTTGTACAGAAGTCCGAAGAGTACAATTTGCCTCTATGTCTGGCGTATGTGGACTATGAGAAAGCCTTTGATTCCGTCGAAATTTGGGCGGTGCTGCAGTCCCTTCAGCGATGCCAAGTTGACTGTCGGTATGTCGAAGTGCTGAAGTGCTTGTACAGTAGGGCTACGATGGCTATCCGAGTACAGAACCAGAGTACGAAACCTATCCAATTGCAGAGAGGTGTGAGACAGGGTGATGTTATATCTCCGAAACTCTTCACCGCTGCATTGGAAGACGTTTTCAATCAATGGCGAATACATCACTCACCTTCGATTTGCCGACGATATCGTCCTTATGGCAGAATCGCTGGAGGACCTAGGCACTATGCTCAATGACCTCAATAGTGTTTCCCAACGGATAGGTCTTAAGATGAACATGGACGAAACAAAGATCATGTTTAATGTCTATGTCACACATATGCATGCCGGTAGTTGTTGGGAGCACTAAGCTCGAAGTTGTTGACGAGTATGTTTACCTGGGACAAATAGTCCGACTAGGTAAATCCAACTTCGACCGAGAGGTCAATCGACGGATTCAACTCGGTTGGACAGCGTTCGGGAAATTACGGCACATCTTCTCGTCAGGTATACCTCAAAACTTGAAAACGAGACTGTTCTACCAGTGCGTCTTGCCAGTGATGACCTATGGTACTGAGACGTGGTCCTTCACTGCTGGCCGGATGAGGAAGCTCAAGGTCGTTCAGCGAGCTATGGGGGGGGGGGCTATGTTCGAAGTTTCTCTGCGTGATAAACTTAGAAATGAGGATATCCGCAGTATAACAAGAATGACCGATATAGCCCAACGGATTAGTAAGCTGAAGGCCATTGCCGTCCATATGCTCGAAGAACCGACAACCGATGAGGAAAAAAGGTTCTCGAGTGGCGGCCTCGTACCGGTGACGAAGTGTAGGGTATCCCCCCACTAGATGGAGTGACGACCTGGTAAGATATGCAGTAAGTCAATGGATGCAGGTGGCTCAGGACCGTGCTTTGTGGCATTCCTTGGGGGAGGCCTATGTTCAGCAGTGGACTTGTGAAGGGCTGTAATGATGATGAAATGATGAGACATTGCATTCGGATCTCTTCTTGCCACTATTAACCAAGTATTTCTCATATGGCAATTAGTTGACACTTGAATCCATAACTTTCCCGGCATTCATATGCTCGTATTTTTGCACTCTGGTACAATACGACAATGATATAGATGATAACTCATTATTAAACATCCAAATGTATCTTATTCCTTTGCAAAATCGGCAAAATTCTAGGGAAGTGACGTCACGAGTTGAACAGCATGGCGGCTATCATATTTACGCCAAAATTTAAAACGATAGATTAAAAGTAATCTTATGGCACCATTTGGCTTAAAAAAATATAAAAATTACAGTGGCCTTTTGCAAAAATTGCAGTGGTTTTTTGAAAATGGGTGTTGTGATATAGGTAATGTGTCAATGAAATAGAGACGTGTTGATGCTTCTATAACTTTAATTAGACTGATCTCTATTCTTAACTTAACTCTAATATATATATAGTCGTGGGGGCTATACCACACTACAGTGTAATACCCTATTACAACCGTGTCGTAGCAGTGCAAGAATATCCACTACCCCATAAAATCCCGTGGGTGTCGTAAGAGACGATATAGGGAAAACAAATCAGGAGATGGACAGCAGCGTCTTCCTAATAACATAAAACAATCTATAAAAATCCGGCAAAGTGTAAGTCAAACTCGCACATGAAGGGTTCTGTACCATAGTAAAACATGTTTCTAGTAGGGGAGTCTTTTAATTTATTTATACTTTTATTATTTGTTGTTATTGCGGCTACAGAAATACACATTCTGTGAAAATGTCAATATTATACCTATTACGGATAATGAGATACAGCCCGCTGACAGACAGACGGACGGACGGATGGACGGACAGACGGGCGGATGGACGGACGGACAGTGGAGGCTTAGTAATAGGGTTCCGTTGGTTACACTTCGGGTACAGAACCCCAAAAAACAATTAGTTTTGTTACAATTACTACTAAGAAAATAGTAAGTCTAATTACTATAAATAACTTCCTTCTTCAATCCTACCTACTAAGTATAGTAATGATAATTATCCTAACACAGAATTGAATGCAAGAACAAACATATAAAAATATGTAACAAATTAATAAATCAGCTTCGACCTGCCAATTTGTGTTGCGTAACTCGAGTAGAATTTAAGTTACGTGAATTTAAAAATATTATATCTTTCGTGAATTACACACAAGTTATATAAATCATGTCTTGTTCTTTCCGAGTTGGCATCCCTAAAATGCCTACAAAAACCATAGGTTAGTAATGTGTTTTTGTTACTATTTACCAGTTAAAGAAGACAAAAATCTTAGGCTATACAGCCTCGTTTGATTTGTATTTTATTACATAACCAAAACAATTAGGTGCATGACAGCCATAGATTACCCCCTTACGGGTAATCTGTGATGACAGCTAAAACGGCATTAGAATTAGCGAGGAAAAACCGGGACGGTGATGGAATCATGGAACGGTGATTGGTCACTAGGGGATGCGTGGGAATAGAGGCGGGGTGAAACCGAATTATATGTTCCTAAATGCTACGAATTTCTATCACAATAAATGTGACTACTGACTACTATTTAAGATCTTGGTGCTTGGTGTCATAATGGATGGCCCTTTGAAGTTTTCGGATCATATTGACAAGATAGTAGGGGACAGGATGATCCAACTTTGTATGAAAGCTGAAAAATCTGCACACAATCATGATTTTGTCAATTTTCGTGTTGGTCTTGTTAAAATAAAACGAGAAAAATATCGCTGTTTCTTTTCTTCATGTTGTTTTAGATTTTAAATTTAAGATTGCCATTTTAAAAATTAGATACACAAATTCATATTATATCAGAAGAAATTAAAAATGTTATTTATATAAGCTTAACAAGGAATGTATATATTACTCTGAGATTTGCATAATTTAGTTCATTTAATTTAAATTATTTAATATTAGCAGAATTCTATCAAAAGAAGCCATGAATTAATAGAAGAAGAAAAAAATGACATTTGTTTGTCAACGTCTTTCATTTTGAAAATATTTTCTGAAATTTATTGAAATTTATTTATAGGTTTCGTTTTTAATATTTATTATTGATTTTTGCAGTTTTTATGAAGTTTTTATTCAGTTATTATGAACTTCGTTTTCGTATTTAGGCGAATACACAGTCATAATATCATCGTGAATATACAGTAAAGATTTTTTGTGAGATGTTAAATCTGAATAAGATATTGACTATAAATGAATTCATTATTTCAAAATTTTATGCACGATTTGTGATTCTCAACGAAAGTAAGTTAAGTGTTGTGCAAATAAAAAGTACAAAATCATCTGATCACTTTCTGTAGGTTTCCTATGATAGGAAAAGGAAAACTTATGACAATATTGTGGTAAGTCTAAATATTTTGAATTTATTGACCGTTATTTGTAGGGATTATTACCATATTGACTCGAATTGTATCTATCGTTTCTGATCACGTATTTAGGCTGTTGTTTTCATCATGAGAATTTTGCTGATATAAATTTACGTTAATGTTCTGTGAAGAATAACTCTGACAATAACGTGTTATATATCAGTAACAAGCGTGGAAATATTATGTGCAAAAGCAATACATCAATAATAATGTATAGTGTATAAAACAATGTCTTTCAGAAAATAAAATGACATAACTATACTTATTTATAGTTTTATTTTATCCCACATACTAATATATTCGAGTAATTTTGGTGCAACCTCTCAATGGGAACTTACCCTGTAGGTTTGTGAGGTTTGAGTCAAAATTACTCAAATATGCCTTAAATAAAAAGTTTTAAAGTTACAGAATACAAAGATTTGAAAATCCCGCTAAAAAGTTTTATATGGGAATCCACCGTAGCGCTTTTAGTGTACACTCATAAACACGTGTTGCCGTTTTTTAATATGAAGTTGGCGTTCTTCTCTTGGTAGAGAGTAATTGTGTTCTGTGGTGGGGGAAGCAAGCTCGAGTATTGCAGCACAGTATGGTACTTATAAAACTCACAAAGAGAGGATCGAAAAAGTTCAGAAGAAAGTAATTCGTAGCTTGTCCCACCGATTTGGTACTCCAAGAAAAATTAAAAACCTATAGTGAAAAAAATTGAGCATGTTCAATTAGAGCCCCTTTCTTTACGCCAAAATCACTTAGATATGTCACTTCTGCATAAAATTGTAAATAATTACATAGACGTGCCCCTTTAGTGTCTAAATTGCAATTTAACGTACCATCCAGAATACCAAACTATCCGTGTACTCTTTTTAAGAACAAATTTTGTAGAACAAACTTGGGTCACGCCTCCCAAGTGATCCGTATATCTCGTCTGTACAACAAGCTCGCCAAAAATATACACGATCTTGACATTTACCATGATACCTTCACTCAATTTAATACTAAACTTAAGCATGTTGACGTACGTTAAACTGCGGTAGTACAAATCCGCTTTTATTTCTTTTAATTTTATTTTTTAGTTAACATATTTTTATTAAACTTTTTATCTTTTATTACTTTACAGTATAATGTGATTACCTACTGTTGCTTGCTGTTTCTTATGTTGGCAATTTAAATAAATAAATTAAAAATTCGATGCGGTACAACATAGTGAAGTTTTTCGGTCCCAGCAAACAGTTGGTTATGATAATATCTCAAAGCACCTACAGGATAGAAAATCATATTGTATTGGAGGCACTGCCACATTTTTTCCGATGATAGATCGCACCACGCTACTTTTTTGGATCGCACGAGCAGACATGAAATATCTACATATTATAATGCGCCAATTTATTTATTAAAATGTACTTCAAACATAATACAGGAGCAAATATCCGACACTGGTGAAGTTGCCGCTCCTTCATCCTCTCAATTCTCTCGTAGATATTTATTTTGTTGTTGTTACTGGATTGTCAAAATCTATAATTGAAATTTTTAAAGCTAAATTGTTAATAAAATAAGAAAGAATGTAACATGCCATTCCTCTCCTTATTTCTGAAAGAGTTACGCAGTAAAATTGTAAATATTTTAATTTGATCGTAATAGAGGGGCTTATAAAGTAATTTCAGCAACTCTATGGATCCCAGATGAAGATATACTCGTATAACTAGTTTGGGAACTCTTAATCTAAGGTTTTCTTTCATTTATTCATTCTTTCGTTACAGCCTATGAAATGTCCATTATTTAACATAAATTATGGAATTTTTCATATCTCAGCTTTACTCACACATTACTTACCTTAAAATATGGTTACTTTTTAAATGTTGTATATGGCATCCCAAAATTTATTTTTTCTCTTTTTACTGTGAGAATGAGAAAAAACATCTTGCCATTTCATTTATTTCCATGCTAGTTCGTCGTAGTGACGGCGGCATCAATTTCCGAATTAATTACCATTTGTCGCAAAAACTGCGCGTCCTTTATCTTAAGTTTAATAAATTATTAATCTCTGCAGGTTGTGTTAAATTGTGATCTAAATGGCGTCAGACGATGAAGTAGACGGTTCTTTTGCAGGTAAATGGTTAATTTGTTACTAGCATGTCCTAGGTAAGCCGCGAATAGCGGTATCATATGTTTACTTGCGGTATGTAATTAAATATTCGAAGATATCGGGTTAAGTGAGGCTGTGTGTGCAACAAATTACAGAGATTTGTTCAGTGAAGTGTTAAAAGACATGTTTAAGTGGAATCATGACGAGCTTGTGTTTTTTCGGTTGTAAATATTTTTATGTGGCAGATCGTGACAGAAAAGAACATGCATTACCCCTCATTACTACTTAACAAAATGGACGCCGCCAAACAAAGGGATTAGTGACCTTACCGAAAGCATTTCGCGTACTTAGAGAAATTTTATAGTTCCTCATGTGATAGACAAGTGAATAGCATGCAGTGAGTGGTTTGACCAGTTTAGTTCAAATTATTGTTGCAGGCGATGAAGAAGTAGAAGAAGGTGAGGGTCAAAATGAGAATTCTGGCGAGAGTGATGAAGCCCCACCAAAGGTATATTTTATAATATTTGAAAAAAAAATTATGGTTGGTATATAAATTTTTATTTCACATCTTTTAATCATAAATCTCTGTTTAAATTTTCTCTGTAGTATTTTTTTTTTTGGATAGACTATTAGCTTAAAAGAAAAACTATATTAAAATTGTAAATACTGATCATGTAATGTTATTACCTTATTATTATTTAATTTAATATTTTTGAACTGAAATCAAGCACATATTTTTATGAGTATCAAAATAATAAGTTTTTATCTTAGTATTAATAAGCCTGTTAGTAATTTGACGCTGTAAACACAACATTAGTACTGTGTTATTAAATTTAATATATTACATCTATATTGTTCTGGTGGGTACCAGGAGGATGATGATTACTCTCCAGAAGATGGCAGAAAAAAGAAAAAAGGAAAGAAACGGAAGGCTAGGGGTGAAGATAAAAAAGGGAGAAAGAAAAAGAAAAAGCGCAAGAATGAAAGTGAAGATGTGAGTACAAGTTTTTTCAAAAGTTTACTACATTTTTGCTTATCGGTCTATCTGGTTGGTTCCCACAGTCTTACCTATTACTGCTATTAACCAGAAATGCACAAATTGCTGTGTTCTGATGTGAAGGGTTAAGGAGCCAGCTTACTTAGACCTTACGGGAAGCCTATGGATCTGTGGCCTTTGTATGAAGTTGATTACACGTGTTCATGGGCTCCAAGTGGTGCACTGACCACAGGTTGCCTGTTAGTTTGTCTGTATTATGTGTGTTTGTCCATCCAAATAGGTATCACTCTCATACCTATTACTGCCACCAAGCAGTAGTGTGTGCACTCCTGTGTCCCAGTCTAAAGGCTGAGACTTTAATTTATAATTAAATACTGATATAATAAAAAAATATATTAAAAGTACAGTACATTATATTATAGTTTATTAATATGCTAATTTATGCAGCACATCAGATTAAAATAAAATACAAATATAAATCAGATATTTAATTTTTAGCTACCATACACTTTTTTTAATAATATTTTTTTTAACATAGTGTACAGGAATTTTATGGTAGTATATGGTATGGTAATTAAACTTAGCGTTTTTTTTTAAATTTGTATTTTAACTATGCATATTTTTTGTAGGATGATGATTTTGGTCTTGAAATTGAGGCCGAGGGGGATAGTGATTATGCATTAAGTGCAATGTCCTCCAGTAAGAAATCACGCAAAGGGCGTGGCAGTAAACACAATATTTCCACTCCAGCACCATCTGATTCAAACTCTGGTAAGAAACTTCTATTTTATACTTTATTTTTAAATGACTGCCCCAGAGGGAGGATAATATTTTTTGAGTGTATGAGAGTATATGTATGTCTTTTTTTGGCAGGCTACTAAGCCTAAACAGCTTGATGTATTTTATCTTTGGGTTGTTGTAAGATTCATCTTGGTTGTACATTGTAAGTTGGTTGTGTACTTGTTTGATGAAAGTGGCAGAGGGTACAAAAAATTTTCTCTTGTCAATAACATTTTTTACACAGTGGGGATTTTAAATTACTGTTTTAACCATTGGGCTTGTTGTAAGACTTTGTATAAGTTTACAGCCCATCACAATTCCACTGCTGAACATAGGCCTCCCACAAGTAATGCCGCAAAGCATGGTCCTGAGCTACTTGCATTCACAGATAAAAAGTAATTTTATTAAAAATAAAAGCCAACTAAAAACCTGAAAAGAATAATCTCTTATTCTGAAGTCGGCGTTAAGGCAGAGGGTATAGAAGAATTAATGCCATGACTTCAGAATGTGAAACTATTTTATTCTTTTAAGTTTGTTTAATACAGACTTTACTTATATAAAATTTTTTGCTCTTTTTGAGTGCACTTAGAAATATCATAATCTTAATGTTGTTACAATAAAAAGTTCATTCTTAATTTTTTCATTGTTATGGGTGAATCTTTTTTATCCAGATTTATATGTGACCACCCCTGAAGTATAACATAATTATTAAAAAAATATTATTAAAATCGATCCACAAAGACATCTTGTAACATACGTACAAAAAAAAACAGTCTAATTGTAAACCTCCTTTTTTGCATTTGGATAAAAAGTACTTGTTAAAATATAGTTCTTTTTCAAAAATTCATTATATTAATATTAAAAGTTATACAAATTTGGGCAACAAACATATTTCTATTTTTTTAATCAAATAACTATTAAAAATATAACTACATTACTTACCAAACATTTATACATACCAGTATTTGCCTATAAGCAGATAATTTTAAGTTAGGACAGAGTTAAATCTGGTGTATTTGAGATGCCTATTTTGCTACAAAGAGGTTGCAGAGGGGTAAAATAAAATGTTAACTTTGCAAAAACCAGTTAGGGTGATGCTTGCTCTTAAATGCAAATCATTATAAAAAATAAACATATATTTGTGCTAGATTCTACCACCCAATTATGCAAAAATGATCCAGTTGGGATCATTTTTGCATAATTAGGTCAATGTGTGATCACAATTACAGCTACTATGGATATTTGTTATTTGCGATGTTTTAACTTAGGATTCTCATTTTGTTACATTTTTGACGCTTCATTTTTGCTTTTTTGTTTAATTGAAAACCTGCATCACAGATCCATGGCCCATTTTATGAAAAATCATATTTTTTTACATAATTCTTTTTGAAGTTTACGTTAGTTAACGTTGTTCCTATTGTAGATACCTACTTAAAATAAGCCAGAGCATAATTGCGTACTAAGGAAGGCCGTAGGTTCATTGACCTCGATCGTAGTAGTAACATTAATGCTACGTCATCCATCCATTCTTTAATATTATGACAAAAATGGCGTCGAGAAACTTAACCATAAAATGAATCTCGTAATAAAATAATTTATTTAAAAACTCTTTTATTATTGATTAAAGTACAAAAAAAAATAACATCTGATATACACTTATGTATACCTAGTATACCAATGTGGAATAGAGTATAGATTGACGATATCATCAATCTTGTTAGGCAGGCTGGAACTGCAGCTTAGTTAGTTTTTGGATTTGTAGTCTGGAAGATGCCGCTGCCCATTTCCAGTTTCATTTTCATCTGTCGCCCTTTACGACACATATAACCGACATTTAAAAAACAGGAGGTACTCAATTCGATTGTATTTTTATGTGTGTTAACTCAGAACTTGCTAGATGAACCGATTTTGATGATTCTTTTTTTATTTCAAGCTGGTGCTTCTCATGGAATTAATGATAAAAGGAATGATAAAATTGATCAAGATCTGACCACTAGTTTTTGAGTTATTCTTAATAATGCGTATTTAATTGACTTCAACTACATTGATGATGTTCTCATTTTAATATATTGAAGTCAGTTATACAAAATTTTTAATTTTACCACTTGTATATTGTTATTATATTTCATATTATAGATATAATTATCGAATGTGGGATATTGGGCGATTTCTATGTTCGTATTTCATTGAAATGTTAACTTATAAGTTATTTCAACACAAAAAGTCACCATGTTTAATGGATTGCTTGCCCTCCGACTCATTATAGAGTAACTAATATGGTATTATTTTGGTTCATTTATTTATACGGCATTAGAGTGGATGCCCCTAATATCAGCCATGCCACTAATTCCAGCCTTTTCGCCTTTTTACTTCTTAAATAAGATTTCTATTAGTCTTAATTACAAATATTGTCACCTAAAAATTCTTCGTAACTAGAGGAAAGTATATTTCAAATATTACCTCACCGTTTTAAACCTAACAGTGTTAAATTAAAAATCAAAACACGTACGCGACGAAAAACGCTCATTCTCCTAATTTCTTGACAAGTAATGATCCCGGTTAAATTATGCTTACTTTAGATTATCTCTTAAATAGGCTTTTTTTATATAAGATAGGGGGCAAACGAGCATGCGGCTCACCTGATGGTAAGTGACTACCGCCGCCCATGAACAACCGCAACACCAGGGGAATTGCATCTGCGTTGCCGGCCTTTTAAAAAGGCTCTTTTCTTGAAGGTCCCTAAGTCGTATCGGTCCGGAAAAATCGCTGATGGTAATCGATTCCACAAGGAAGTCGTGCGAGGAAGAAAACATTTTCTAAATCGCACAGTGGTGGACCGCCAATCATCCAGATGGTGTGGATGGTATCGGGAGTTCTGCCGCGATGTGCGTTCGTGAAATTTGGCGGCTGGGATTAATCCGAACAATTCCTCAGAGCACTCCCCATGGTAAATGCGAAAGAAAATGCAGTGAGATGCAACATCCCTTCGCAGTGCCAATGAATCGAGCCGATCGGAAAGGACTTGGTCGTCGACGATTCGAGCCGCTCTATGCTGGATGCGGTCAAGTGGAAGGAGTTGGCACTGGGCAGCCCCTGCCCAGAGATGGGAACAGTATTCCTTGTGAGGCCGAACCTGCGCCTTGTAAAGTTGCAGGCGGTGTGCCGGCATGAAATACTGTCCCGCTCTGCTGAGCACGCCAATCTTTTTAGTGGCCAATTTGGCCTTCTCTTCCAAGTGACCACGAAACTGCACGTCACTCGATATGTCGACTCCGAGGACTCCGATACTGGCTGAGGCAAGAAGGGGAGTGCCTTGAAACTGAGGAGATACGACAAAGGGGTTAATTTTAGCGGTAAACGCGCAAACTTGTGTCTTCTGAGGATTAAACTGGACTAAATTTAGTCGCCCCCAATCCGAGGCTTTGTTCAGCAAAGACTCGACTTCAGACACAAGTTTGTTCCGGTACTCAGCGACGTTTTTCCGAGAAATATTGGCATGGCCGGTGTATAAAGCATCACCAGTGCTGTCATCCGCATAGCAATGAATGATACCAGTTAGCAACATATCATTGATATGCAGAAGAAACAGCGTTGGTGATAGCACATAGCCTTGTGGAACACCAGCGTTAATAGGCTTGTAGTCGGAGCATGCACCGTCTACAACGACCTTGATGCTCCGATCTGCAAGGAAGCTGGTGATCCAATTGCACAATTTCTCGGGAAGCCCATAGGAAGGGAGCTTCGAAAGAAGCGCTTTGTGCCAAACCCGATCGAAGGCCTTCGCAATGTCCAAACTAACAGCCAACGCCTCCCCCTTGGACTCTACTGCCTCCGCCCATCTATGGGTCAGGTAGACCAGAAGATCACCAGCTGATCGACCTCGACGAAAACCGTATAGGCGGTATATCAGCTGTTGACCCTCAAGGTACCGCATGAGCTGGCAGTTAATAATGGATTCCATTATTTTGGAGAACAAGGAGGTGATGGCGATAGGCCTATAGTTGGACGGGTCTGAGCGGTCGCCTTTTTTAGGGATCGGGTGGACAAATGCTATCTTCCATGAATTCGGGACTACGCCTTGGGAGTAGGAGTACCGGAAAAGACGCGTTAGGACCGGTGCCAAATCCGGAGCACACGTTCTCAGCACAATTGAGGGGATTCCGTCAGGCCCACTCTACTTCTGGATGTCCAGGGAGAGGAGTGCTTTGCGAACCGAACGCTGTGAGAACAGCACATCCGGCATGGAGCACTCACTCCGCGGGATGGTCGGCGGTGTTTTCCCCCCGTCATCAAGAGTCGAGTTGGACGCAAAAAGGGAGCCTAAAAGGTCGGCTTTCTCTTTCGCGTCGTGGGCCAGTGAGTCGTCCTCCCTGTGCAGAGATGGTAGTGATGGCTTACAGAAATTCCCTTGGACAGCCTTGGCGAGAGACCAGAATGCACGGGGTCCCGAAGAAAGGCGAACTAGTTTCTCGCCAATTCTGCCTATGTGCTCTGACTTTGCCTTGGCAATAACTCTTTTGAAGGACCTGGAGGCGAAGTTATACTTCTTTTTAAGTGTGCTCGTGTTTACATCCCGAGTAGCTGAAGCCGCAGCCCAGGCTTGATAACACTCCTGCTTACTGCGTAATGCAGTTTTACAGGAGCGACTAAACCAAGGCTGAGATCTGCCTCCGATGGTACCACAGATGATGGAATAAATAGTTCCATTCCCTGTAGCATCACATCAGTGACAGAGTCAGCAACAGCGCTGGGATCATCCGGCGAGAAGCAAACCCGCCTCCATGGGTAGGATGCAAAGAAAGACCGCATTCCGTCCCAATCCGCCGACCTGTAATGCCAAACACGGCGGCAACCTGCAGAACGCAACCGCGAGGGAAGCGTGAGATCAGACAATGGTCCGAAGAGCCGAGAGGGGCATCGACGGAAACCTGATATCCGTCCGGATGAGAGGTCAGCAGAAGGTCCAACAGGGAAAGTGTATGATCCTCCAC